ACGGTTAAAAATAATATTGTTCTGAGAGTCTCACTCACTTCGTCCGCCAACTGATTGCCTATCATTTGCCACATTTTCCACTCTACGGGCTCCTTTGGAACCGAGTAGGAATTTTTATCTTTAGTGGCAAGCACAGCCCACCTATGGAACGCCCCGCCCATAATGGGTTTGTCTCACTCATTTCGTCCGCCAACTGATTGCCTATCATTTGCCACATTTTCCACTCTCCGGGCTCATTTGGAACCGAGTTACGAATTTTTGAATGTTTTGTGGCAAGCACCGCCCACCTATGGAACGCCCCGCCCATAATGGGTATGTCTCACTCATTTCGTCCGCCAACTGATTGCCTATCATTTGCCACATTTTCCACTCTCCGGGCTCATTTGGAACCGAGTTACGAATTTTTGAATGTTTTGTGGCAAGCACCGCCCACCTATGGAACGCCCCGCCCATAATGGGTATGTCTCACTCATTTCGTCCGCCAACTGATTGCCTATCATTTGCCACATTTTCCACTCTCCGGGCTCATTTGGAACCGAGTTACGAATTTTTGAATGTTTTGTGGCAAGCACCGCCCACCTATGGAACGCCCCGCCCATAATGGGTATGTCTCACTCATTTCGTCCGCCAACCGATTGCCTATCATTTGCCACATTTTCCACTCTCCGGGCTCTTTTGGAACCGAGTTACGAATTTTTGAAATGTTTTGTGGCAAGCACCGCCCATAATGGGTGTGTCTCACTCATTTCGTCCGCCAACTGATTGCCTATCATTTGCCACATTTTCCACTCTCCGGGCTCTTTTGGAACCGAACTACGAATTTTTGAAATATGTAGCTCACAACTGTGCGCACGCCCCGCCCACAGTGGGCGGGAGCTTAGCTCAGTTCATGCATGTTCCTTACATCTTGCGTGACCCGCCCCTCGAAGTTTCTCTCCAGTTGATGCCGAGTTTCCAGACAGACACGCAGACTACTTCTGGTTTATATGTATAGGGGGATATTTTGAGTGCAGTGTTTGAGTGGAATAATTCGGCAATACCTTGTTGACTGAATAGCAAATCTTTTCCTTCACTTTCTGTGTTGAGAGGAAAGCCTTCAAAAATGCGGAATTTTGTCATATTCTTCTTGATGCGTTCAATCAACAACATCCAGCACTTTGCGTCGTTTCGTTGGTCAGCTTATACACTGCTCCACATAATGATAGTTCCACCCATAAATATTACAAAATCCCGTCTTACATGAGGTTTTCAAAAATGTCCTCAAATAGAAAATGAGGTAATAATCAATACCAGTTTGCATGTCAACACCGGAAACTAACTTGAAAGAACAAGTTTTTTGTTCATTTTTTTGAAAATTGGTACTCTGACAATTCCACAAAATGATAGTTCCACCTCATGTTTTGTCGCTGCGTCTTTTTTGTTGGGTAAAACTGTCTCATCATTGTGAGTTTGCCTTTTTTCTAGGCTATGGCAAGAGGACATTCATTAAAGGATTTTGAAAAAAAGGACAGATAATCGCAAAGAAGACTCAAGGACTGTCGAACCGTCAAATCGCACGGGATTTGGGCCGCAGTCATCATGTGATCAACAATTTTGTCAAGCAACCTGCAGGATATGGAGTTGAGAAGAGCTCTGGGCGTCCTCCTTTGCTCTCTGATCGGGATAAGCGCCGTATTTTGAGAGAAGCATCCAATTCTCCAATGTCGTGCCGGGAAATAAAGTCAACTTTGAGGCTTAATGTCTCGAAGGGGACTGTTCGGCGTATCTTGAAAAACTCCTGAGTTCACCTACAGGAGGAATATGAGCCAGGCACTGTTTCTAACAAAAAACTATCGCGAAAACCTAATTGGCTTTGCTGGAAGATGTTGCCGAACCAATTGGAGTAAGGTTAGTTTTTGGCTGAGCGTGATTCACTCGTCACCAAACCGCCTTTTGCCCTGGTCAGCGAGTAGCCCCGACTTGAACCCAGTTGGGAATGTGTGGGGCTTCATGGTGCGCAAGATCTATGCGAATAATGCACGATGTCCATGAGCTTAAGAAGTCAATCATTGATGCTTGGCAGCATGTCGAGTGAAAACTTTTAAAATCTCTATTCGAGCATAGACAACCGCATTTTCCATTTTATTCGAAGAAATGGAGTTCCAATAGATTACTGAATTAACAATTCATTCGTTTTGTTGTGCACTTGTTGTTGGATGATCGATTTGTTTGGTGGAACTATCATTTTGTGGAATTGTCAGAGTACCAATTTTCAAAAAAATGAACAAAAAAAACTTGTTCTTTCAAGTTAGTTTCCGGTGTTGGCATGCAAACTGGTATTGATTATTACCTCATTTTCTACTGAGGACATTTTTGAAAACCTCATGTAAGACGGGATTTTGTAATATTTATGGGTGGAACTATCATTATGTGGAGCAGTGTAGTATTGTTCTCTGCGGATGCTATATCGTATCAGGTGGGCTAGGATTGTCGTGGCCACAGACGCTCTTATAGCAATTGTCCTGATTAGCCTGCCTCA